AGAACTTGTTCGTTATGCTTCATAAGATTGGAGACTGATGAAAATTAGGCTTGGGGTGGATTAATGATTGTGCATTGAGCATTGACTCCCCTATACAGAATTTTATTGTTGTTAACAACCATTTGATCAATAAATATGAGAGATGCCCTCTCAAAAAAGAAATAAATAAAAAATAAAAGACATTCATTAAAAAGTACATGAGTCATGAAAAATAAGTAACAAAATTAAAAGACTATTGCAAAATACAAAATATTTTTTTTTTAAATTGGAAATGAATTTAGAATAATTTAAACATTTTAACTACTCCTGAGAGGTTTTTCTATAAAATTTAATTATGTAATAAAGAAGTAATACCATGGACAAATATGAGAAATTGTACATGACTAATGGCATAGTACTCAAAGGAAAGTAATTACAAGATGATAACCTTATCCTTCTGGGATTTTAAATAAGTTAGTTTTTCTTTATTCCAAATATGGAGAAAAGGAAGTGGTACAAAAATTGCATCAACTATGTCCACTAATTCTGAAATTCCTTTCAGAATAGATAATTGCAACTGTTCTCTGTGTTAACTGAAATATACTTTTATATATGTATAATATTTGTTGTACATGGGAGACATCTGAATCTATGTATATAACCACCTGGGGAACTTTTAAAAAATAAGTCCCTGGGTCTTATCTCCTGGAGGTTCAGATTTGGAAAGTCTGGAGTAGATGCCAGGAATCAGTTTATATGATATAATACAAAGCTCATGTTGGTGTATTAAGGGAATTCCTCCTCTGACTCAGCTACCTCTTGGTACTAGTCCTATATATTTCAGTGCTTTTCAAACTCTACTGTACATACAAATCACCTGTAGATGTTAGTAGGAGAAAGATTCTGATTCAGAAGGTCTGGCATGAGGCCTAGGAACAAATAAGCTCCAAAGTGATGTCCATGCTGCTGCTCCAGGGACCAAGTTTGAGTAGTGAGCCCTTATGGGGTCTTTCAATCTTTCCACAGGTGAATAATAGAAGGCATTCTCCTAGGCAGTTCCTACCATAGAGTATTTTCTTCAAGTTTTACCTAAACATGCTTTAGGACAGCTAAGCAGACAATTTGCAAAATACCTGACATATCGTTACTATGTATCCTACTACCAAGTGAGTGGAAATTATTTCTGTCACTTACATACAGATGTCACTAAAAGATGAGTGCTACTGATGTCACAATGCAGAGATGAAATAAAAATTTACATAATTTTCAATATATATACAAGGATGTTGATCAAAACCACAGTTATAATAGTGAAATATTGGAGAAAATCTAGATGTCCAACAATAAAGGCCTGATTAAATGACTTATATGGGCATCTATTAAAAATAATGATACAAATGTACAATTATCAGTAATGAAAAGATGTTCATAAGTTAAAAAAAAGGTTTTGAAAAACTTTACAGTGTGATTCCATTTTGTGTGGGAAAAACATACAGTCTTATATGTATTTCTGCAAAAGAAAGAGTCCAGGAAAATATATACTAACATGTTTAACACACCCTCAAAGTTGTAAAATTTCAGGAAGTTTTTGATGTTTGTTTGCTTACACTATCTAATATTTCTGCTATGATGTAGACCTTATAAAATTCTTAGATAGTAAAAAAATGGTGAGAAGAAAACCAAGCAAATCCCATAATTGTACACACCTTTCAAGAACTACTAGAATGGCTTGACTACTAGGGAACTTGCATTCCAAATAGTCAACAAAGGACTTCCTATATTCAAAGCACTTTGAAAGCTTTTTGAAATTGCAGTCTTGCATCCCACCCCAGGCTTAACTAAATCCCCATCTCTAACAATAGGCTCCATAATCTGCATATGAAGCAACCACTGATCCTTACAGACAGAAAAATTTGGAAACCAAGGCTTTAAACAAAAAGCTTCCTAGAAATGCAGGGACCTGGACTAAATTTCAACCCATCTAAATGGCAACCTACAGTAAATTCAAAATGGGTGAAACCATGGTATATACACACACACACCCTACACAGAGACCACTGGAATCTGAACACCAACAACAAAACACTTGTACTTAGCGACTGGCTTTATTTGATCTTAATTTTAAATATCTCGTGTGAACACTGGCCATTTCCAGAGCAGACTGAGGTCACAAATTTTCCTTATATTTGACCTACATCCACTGAAACTATTCTTATTATAACCCCTTCTATGATATTCTATCCCCATTTAGTCCTTCATTAGTTAAAAGTACCACAATAAACATTTATTAAGGAACCAAAATACCTAGGTAATTTAATCACTGTCCTATTGCTTTCATTTCTCCTTTCTACAAACATCCCAGGTGACTAACCTCAGCAGATTCTGGTGATTATTTCTTCCAGAATCTTTGAGGTAAACTAAATTTAAAGGCATGGAGGGGTTTATATTAATAGAACACCCAAAGAATCAGGAAAAACATTTCCTGCTTTGAAGAACACCATAAGAACCCAAAAAAATTTGTTCAAAAGAAAAAGAGAAAAGGGTGGTATCACACTATGTTCCTATGTTCCTAGCATCAACACTCTCAAGTATTTAGTATAACAATCAACTCATAAGGCATATATTTACTAAGTTTTCAAAATGAGACATTAAGCGTTTTGAGAATTTCTTAAGGTTAACAAATTAAAAGCATTTTCCCAAAGAAAGCCATGATAGACTTTTTCCTCTTCAAACTAAAGGGGAAAACAATAGGAGGAAAAAAAGTTGGCATGAGCTCCTAAGAGAATCTAGGAAAAGGAGCATAATTTCAAGGAGGTGGGGGACAAATCCTTCATTTTATTTTAATCCATGACATATTTTAATCCTGGATCACTCAGAAGGCCAGGCCAGCTAAAACTGGAATCTATTAAAACCAAGAAGATTATATCCCTACCTGTAGCTCACACCAGGCAACCTCAACCCAAGTTTCAGTGTCCAGTCCTTTATATACTGTTTTAAATGCTCCTCTTCCCAGCTCTATGTCGAATTTCAGGAATCTGCCACTAGGAGAAGTAGCTACAGCCTTCATTTCTGCTTCTTCTTCCATTTCCTTTTCATATTTCTCCTTGAAACAATCTTTTGATGATTCTGACGTTGCCTTTGAACACTGTTCATATTTAACTTCTTGACCACCTCTTAGCACATTTGTAGGAAGATTTTCTACTCTTGGAATATTTGGTGCAGTCTTCATTCTCTCATCTTTGGAGGAAGATTCAGCAGCTTTGTCATCTTCCATCATCTCTACACTCTTTCGGAAGAATCTCTTCCTTTCTATAGTTTCTCCACAAGCAGAGAAGGTACTGTTTTTTTCTTTTAGTCTAGCTTCCACTGTTAAAGTTGCTGCATCCTGAGGAACTCTGTCTTTCAATGAAACTCCATCAGGTTTCTCAGAATCTTCTGTGCTAGCTGGCCCCCCTGAATCAGTAGCCATTGTTATTAAGGTTGGCACTAAAATTTTTTCTGTTCCACTGTTTAGTCCAGATACATCTCAGGTATCAGAATTATAAGAATGGACTTCCTTTCATATGGTCATCTCCATAGCAACCTGAAGGGGGAAAAAAGGATATTTTAAAACCATCCCACAAAGGAAATTGTTAAGGAGAAAACAAGTCACCTGATTATTTAATCCCTTTCTTATTAACAAGAAGTTTGGTCTTTTTCCTGCCCACTCTTAGCAACCAGCAGACTCCAGAGACTGTCTTATCTTGTTTACGACTCAAGTCTTCAGTACCTAGCAGACTACTTGGCATATAGCTCAATAAGTATTCATATTGCATGAATATTGGTTAGGAACCTAATTTTCAGCCCCATTTATCAATCCATCATATTTAAAACAAGTATCCAAACCCTGAGTTCACTTAGCTACAACACATGCAATAAGTAAAACAATCACATAATTTCTCAGCAGGTGGTTTTTGTCGAAAATTCTGGAATTAATCCAAGAGTAGTTCTTTTATTGTGGTAAAATATGCTTAACTTCAAATCTACCATTTTAACCATTTTTAAGTGTATAATTCAGTGGCATTAAGTACATTCACAATATTGTGCAACCATCACCATTATCCATTTCCTGAACTTTTTCATCATTCCAAACTGAAATTCTGTATTCATTAAATACTAACTCCCCAGCTCCTGGTAAACTCTGTTCCACTTTTTGTTAAGAATTTGCTTATTCTAGGGACTTCATATAAGTGGAATAATACAATATTTGTCCTTTTGTGCCTGGCTTATTTCACTTGACATAATGTTTTATCAAGGTTTATTGATGTTGTAGCATGTATCAGAATTTCATTCCTCTTTTAAAGCTAAACAATATTCCATTGTATATATATATATATACACCACATTTTGTTTATCCATTCATCTGCTCAATAGATTGGGTTGTTTCCACCTTTTAACTGTTGTAAATAATACTGTTATGAACATCCAATGCTGGTTTTGAATTATACAAATACTTGTCCATGAGCTTGCCTTCACATTTTAACAGAAAGCAACTACTGCCAAATAACTATACTTAAAAAAATGGCAAGAAAGATTTAAAAATATGCATCCTCTTTAACCAGCAATTCCACTTACAGGAAGTTCAATTAGAAAACTGTCAAGAATCTGTGCAATATTTAACTATAATATGCATTATAGCACATATAATTTGGAAAAACTGTAACTAAACATAAGCCTATGGGGGTTTAATTAAATATGCCAAAATGAGATCAGATACAGCATTAAAAAATACTGTAGTTTGTAGCATGATGAAAAGACATTCACAATATATTAGGTGGCTAAATCAAAAAAGAAATATATACAATAAGCTTCCATACACACACACACCCCCCACATACAACATTAACTCTGAAAGGTGGAATTATGGCCTCTTCTTTCTGCTTTTCTGTACTTTCTAAAACTTTCCACAATGAATATGTGGAAATATATGGAACATAATAAGGAAAAAAAGTTTTTCAAATAAACAGTCAAGCCACCAATAAGAAAACTCTCCTCACCAGAAACACGCATCACAAAGTTAAGCCTCTAAATGTGTCATTATGTTAGTGCTTTAGAAGGTACAATTCATCGTCAAACCAAAAATACACAGAAATACCAAATTTGCAAAACTGAATAAAAATAATCCTGGACTAAAACAAACAAAATGGCGAGAAATACCCCAAACTTTTCTATATATTCAGTACAATTCCTAACAAAATACCAGCTGGTTTCTTTACAGAAATTAACAAGATGATCTTAAATTTATATAGGACTTCAAGGGATCCAAAGTAGCCAAAGCCAAAACAATCTTGAAATAGAACAAAATTAGAGGACTCACCCTTCCCAATTTTAAATCCTACTACAATGCTACAGTATTAAGACAGTGTGGTACTGGCATAAGGATAGATGTGTAGGTAAATGGAATAAAAATAGCCTAGAAATAAACCCACATATTTATGGTTGATTGATTTTCCACAAGGGTGCCAAGACAATTTCATGGGGAAAGAAGAGTCTTTTCAACAAATGCTACTGGGACAACTGGATATCTATATGCAAAAGAATGAAGTTGAGCCTTCTAAGTAAGGTTTCCTGGGAAAGATGCCTGAACTGAGTCTTGCAGAAAGAAAAGCAGCTGATCCAACCAGAGGAAAAATCAGAAGCAAAGTCATGAAACAGCACTGAGTAGGTGTATGAGTGCTACCGTGAACAAGTTACACACATATTAGAAGGAGGCAGATGGGAACAGGCAGATAGGATTTCTATGTCATACTGTGTAAAACAAGGAGACCAGTTAAGAGAGCTCCTGCAATGATCTGGGACAGAGATGCTAACGGTTGAATGAAAATAGTGTTAAGAAGGATAGATTCAAGATACATTAAGGAAGTACTAAATGCAAGATTTACTTCCTGAATAACTATGGTTGTAAGGAAAAAGGAATAGTCTATGATAGCTCCCAGAAATTTGCCTAACAGATGACACTGGTAGGACACAGCTGTGTTAATACCAGAGCTAGGAATTAAATTAAGGCTCATGATGTGCTTTATGGGGTTGCACTGCCAATCAATGTACTTTGAAAGCCACTTAAATAAGACTACTACTGCCTAAAAGTGGGGAAAAGTAACTGACAACACCTCACTTACATGGAGATTTTTTCATTACCTTATTTTGACATAATTTTAGACTTGGGGGAAAAAACTGCAAAAATTAACAAAGAATATAGAATAGACTTCACTCACATTCCCCAAATGTTAACATTTTAGGTGAGATATTGTTAAGTAAGAATATTATTCACTTCACTTAACTAAAGTTCACTTATCCAGAACCCTCAACAACAGAGATCCATAAGTAAGACAAAAGGACTTCTAAGCAGACAAAAATAGATGAAATCAGAGAATTTAAGTTGGAAAAAGCCTTGAAAAAATTTAACTGCAGAACCTCTTTTTTTAAAATGAAATCTTACTCTGAACCCTTATATAAAAACAGAGGGAGAAATAGCACTGATTTGATACAATAATTCTAACATATCTGGTCACCTGATTTCCCAAACTATAGTGTAAGAAGCAAGAAATTAGAGGGATGGGGAAAGGAGTGTTCTCTCAGTCTTTTACCAACCAACCCTAAGACAGAAAATGTCTCTAGAGATAAAAAGGAACATTTTACAAGTATGAAAAGATTAATTCATCAGGACAATATGACAATTATACACATCTACACATTATAAACATTTACACATCTAATGACATAACCCTCAAAATACATTAAAATAAACTGACAAAAGGGACAGAAACAATTCAATAATAACAGAAGATTTTAATACCCCAGTCAGTAACGGAGAGAAAAACTAGGCACAAAACCAGCAAGAATCTAGAAAACATGGCCAATACTGTCAACCAATTTGATTGAACTGCCATCTGTAGAACTCCCAACAAGAGCAAAATACACATTCTCTTCAAGGGCACATGGAAAAATCTCCAGAACAGTTCACACACTATGCAATAAACTAATTCTCAATACATTTAAAAGGAATGAAACCAAACTATGCTCTCCTACTACAAAAGAATTAAATTAGAAATGAACAGAATTAAGATAAGATACATAAATTAATGAAATAGAATTGAGAGTCTAGAAGTAAACCTTAACATTTACGGTCAACTGATTTTCAATAAAAAGGCAAAAACTATTCATGGGGAATAGAAGACTTTCAACAAAAGGTGCTGGGAAAACTAGATATCCATGTACAAAAGAATGACGTTGGACCTCTATGGCTCACATCATACAAGAAATGAACTCAAAGTGGATCACAGATCTGAATGTAAGAGCTAAAACTATAAAAATCTTAGAAAAAAAACACTGGAGTAAATCTAATGACTGGGTTAAACAATGATTTCCCAGATACAACAACAAAAATACAAGTGTTGAAAGAAAATTAAGAAGCTGGACCTCATCAAAATTTTAAACTTTTGTGCTTCAAAGGATGCCATCAGGAAAATGAAAGGCAAAAAGCCTGGGAGAGGGCAGTGGATTAGAGATGGCAGCATGAGAGGTGAGACAGGGGCTTCCTCCTAAAACCACATATAATACGAAAATATAACTAATACAACTAATCCTGAGAGAGCAACAGGAAAGAGGGCTGCGCCAGACTGCATACACCTGGAGAAAAGAGCAGACCTCATGAAACAGGGTAACATACCAAAGCTGTGGCCCGGCGGGACCCAAGCCCTTCCCCCACCCCAGCTCACCAGCAGGAGGAAGAGAAACAGAGCAGGGAGGGACTGGAGTCCTGGAACTGCTGAATGCCTAACTCCAGAGACCTGCTCTGGGAGCACAAACCTACATTTCATGGTGCTTTCATGATACTCTTGTGATCACAGGGTTGGAAAGCTAAGACAGGCAGATATCCTGGAGAGACTGAGATTCCAGCTGCTTGTGGAAAGCAGGGATCCATATCCAGCTGCTCTGGGACAAAAACTTATACCTGTGTTCTTGGCCCACTGGTTCAGACAGTGGACACAGGCATAGCAGCCGGGAAGCAGGAAACAGCTCTTTCCTCCCACCAGACAACAATAAAACTCCCCTGCGATGCTCGACATTGCTTCAGGGGCAGAGCAGCTCCAGAGAGTAGAGTTTCTGGACACTAGAGGATGCCATAAACAAATATGAAATGCCAAAGGAACCTGGTACAGACTAAAATTAATATAACCTCTGAGAAAGATGACATGGACCTCATGACTCTTCCTGAAAGGGAGTTCAAAATAAAAATCAATAACATGCTAATGGAGGTATGGAAAGATATTCAAGAACTCAGGAATGACTTCAGGTCAGAGATCCAATCATTGAAGAGCACAACAGAGGGTATTAAAAGCAGACTGGATATTGTGGAGACGATAAATGAAATAGAAACTAGAGAAGAGAAATACAAAGAAGCTGAGACACAGAGAGAAAAGACGACCTCTAAGAATGAATGAATATTGAGAGAACCGTGTGACCAACTGAAACTGAACAACTTTTGCATTACAGGGGTAGCAGAAGAAGAAGAGAGAGAAAGGGATAGAAAGTGTCTGTGGG